AAGTTGCACATCATTGTGGCTCCTGCAAGTCTTGGTGAGTGTCTTTCATAAGTCACTAATACATGAATGAAGTAGGATATGCGCCGCATCCCAAAAAGGGATTATCCTTGTACACCCTCGCCTCACTCCTTTCAGACCCTCGCCTTACACGACTGCAGTTCGAGGTGCTCCCTCCCCAGAGTTGATACCAATATCGGGAAGTAACTATGTCTCGTACATCGAATGCCATCGCAAGCCATATCAAGGGGATAATCAAAGAAAGCCACTACGATTCTGAATGGAAGTTCAATACGTCTCGCATTATAAAAAGTGTTGATCAATGGCAAAAGCTTTATCCTCTATTCGAAAAAATGTATTTACTATTGCAATGCGTGTACCGATGTCCAAGGAACGGCCAAGAATAGCATCGTGTGCCAATGACCAGCTCCGTTAGTTTCGGGCCTTTCGTGGACCAAATTAACTGACAGGACATCTCAGTGGCCCGCGCCAATGACGTTCAGAAAATACAGGAATTTACAAATGTGCCCAGTATGATGACAGACTTGCTTGTCCCCAGTCCCATTTGAAAGGCAATTCAGGCGCAGTTTGGGGAAAGACATTTGCACTTCTCTACTCCACCAGTTCCGCTTCCAAGACTCATGCCTGGTTTCTACAAGCTTCGGCTGATGTCATTTCATGGCTTCACCAGATTTCACAGGTATTCACTGATGGCCCCGGCCGTCGATGGGAAGCAGCAAAAGAGCAACTGTGCCCCCCCCACTCCCCTCGCCGGCGCCGAACTGCGCCCGATTTTATCTTAAAATCGTATCAAATTAGTAATAATCCAATAATACATCCACCGTTCACAGCTTGCGATAAAGACGAGATGTAGAACATATCGATTGGAGCAGGGCGGAGCTAGCGACGTAGGGTCCCGCAACGAATACCTGGCGCCGGCCCAAATTGTTGGCAAATTGCCTCTGCCAGGGAGTAGGAATCAATAGCGCCCACGACCGCGTGCGTTAGGCCGCGTGCATACGTTGTGGCAGTGTTCACCACCGTTTCGAGCGTCCGTCAGCGCCAGCGACTAGGGGAGTGAGGATACAGTTCAGCGAACGCCAGCCCCCCTCAGCATCTGCCAGCGTCCACTAGGGACTAGGAAGTATGGACCCCTATCTAGCGAATGCTAACGCCTAGCCTCCAGCGTTATCAGCATCCACCACCGCTCAGAGTATGGGAAGTGAGAGGGTAGCAGACTGCTAGATTAGGCGTCGTGGAATTGCGGTTCCTAACTACTACACAAGACCGAACAATAAATTGTTTCTGTGCTTTATTATTTGCACACGCCGCAATTTCGCGACACTTATTCCAGCTGTCTGCTCCCTCCTACTTCCCAACACTCTGCCAGCATTCTGCTACCTCCTTAGTTCCGCGTACTCTTTGGACGCTGGTGGTCGCAGGCCGCTAGATCAATATCCATTCTTTCTTAGTCGCCGGTGGACGCTGGTAGATGCTAATGGATGCTGTTGTTCGCTAGATCGTTGTCTACACAATCCTAGTCGCTGGCGCTGACGGACGCTTGAAACGCTGGTGCAGCGGCAAAGTGGTAAGGCAGTGTTACAGCGCGTTGACGCGCGTCATCGCAAATGAATGCAGCCCTATGATGGACAAAAACAGTTCATCTGTTGTCTCCATATAACCACAGCTGACGCCGACACGCACTCTAGCGCTTGGTAGGACCCAACAGAAGGAACACTCGAGACGAACACATTCATATTTCCAGCTTTTCAATGACAACTATAATGAGACGAAGGAGGTTGTTTTACCGGTGATCGACAACATCAATGATCAAAAATCGGACTTCTCAGCAACAGTCACAGCATCTGCTTCGCTCCTTGATCAAGCACGACTTCTCACTAATAAGACGAACTGTTTCCAAGATGGGAAAATCAGCGCGGTCTGCGGTAACTTAACTCTCCAGATGCCTTAACGCAGGTTCACGCGAATGATGTACGAATGACTTTATATGATATACTGATTAAAAATTCATTCTCATTACAAGAGTTCACAACAAGAAGGCGTAACAACTAAACAGTAAACAAAAAAGTCCAAAATTAAGAAACTGGACAGCAACAGTTTACAGAACAATTCACAAAAAAGGTTCAATAACAATATCTGCTCTTTCTTCAGTTCAAAGAGGCACAGGTCGATGAATCATTCGACAGAACTTCTTCTATTTGTCAATTTGCCTTTACTAATTTGAACTGGAAATCTCGAAAAAGAAGAAGGGAAAACACCAAGAAGTGCTGAAGTAAAAGCTGGACCGCCAGGCACCAGCTTATGATATCACTTACATGAAATGTTTCGCGTGGTTTCTGAGCGCGACATTTGCGAAAGAGCATGCATAAAAAGAAGGTGAAAGGCAGGACCACCCACGTACCACTAGCATATCAGCTTCCAGCTGAAACACCACCAAAGAAAATATTTTCAGCAATAATTTACTAGCCCTTGACAACTTCTGCAGTAACAGAGGGCGATTTTTGTAACATAACCGTAACATGGGTGATGGCGGAAGCCATCTGTGCAACATCTTCACGTGGAGTTCCAGCCAGTTTCGATAGATCAGCGAGCATCTGAAATATTTCATCGGTTCCGCCATGAACACAACGTTTCCTTTCACCAAAACTTGGGAAAGCGCAAATATTAGTGATAAAATCCAAAAATTTTCTGTTCTTCTATGAAATTCAACTCCAACGATTAATTTGATCTATGAGTAATGGCGTTTTCAATGGCTTGAAGTTTTAAGTTGAAATAAGAAGCTCTGTCAATGTACTGTACCTTTTATATCAGTTTTCGAGATGAAATGCTCGATTTTTATGAAGAGCTGAAAGCTTCTTGACTACGGGCATTACAACCACTCCTTATTGCGTATAATCAAAGACCTGAATCCACAAACGCCCATTTGTTGAGCGAATGGACAAGAAACCAACGAAAACTACAGACTGGCCTTCTTCTCCGTTGCTTTTCTGATAACTTGAGTTTTAATTTAAGTTGATTTACTTTTTATTTTGGTATTACTTTGTTTTGTTTTTGTTTTTATTATATTTTATTTTATTTTTAAATTTAGTATTTCCTTCTCTGCTGGTACGACCCCCTCCACCGCCTCCCATCCTACTTGCCATCTCTCTTGATGTTCCCAACGTCCCACCATTCTTCTGAGTTTTTTTCCTAGAAATTCTCCACGCCCCCCTCCCTCCTCCTGAAACTGTCGTTGAGTGGAGAAAAGAAAGAATACGGCACAACCGAGATAGGAACGATCAAAGCGGGAAAAGCGGAGAAAAGTCAACAACCGTAAACCTTTTTATACGATCCGTACTTCCCACCTCTTCTTCAAGCATCCAAATACGACCCACCTCGCTGGGGATCTCCCAATGACCTACGTGACATGATTGTACCGGACACCTCTTTAATCACTGAGAAGCTGCTCAATCAGCTTAAGCTCGAAGATCTACGCCAAGCTGAGCGTTACCCAAAAGGGAAGACGAAACTTGATGCATGAGTTCCGATGCAAACACCTCTCATTCAGCCCAAGAGAGCGTACGGAAAGGAACCAGGCATTGTCAAACCTTCAGCTGCGATGGACTGGGATCAAAGCCATCTAAGTGTCATTTGAATTATAACTTCAAGTTGTCGGGGCGCATACAGAAGCCCCGAAAATTGCGCGTGAGCTTAACTGTGTTGGTCGTAAATGCACACAACAGGCTGCACGACTACGTGACCCATCCAGATTCTTTGAATGAAGTACTGTAACTTGACCGCGCGAGCAGGTACCTGCTGCGGTTGGGCGGGTTGCTACCCGAGGGCAACCCAACGTGGGTTGAAGATGAAACGTGCGTCAACCGGTTGTGCAAAAGCCGTACAATACGAGCTGTTAAACGTACCTCAAACTTGGGTAAGCAGCTTTCAGACTTCGCGACGGTAGCGCTTCGGTCGCGCTTCGACGCGAGATGCAGTGAAAGCATGCGCATCGATCGCGTCGAACGCGCGACTGAAGCACTGCCGTCGCGAAGTCTGAACGCTGCCTAACTAATAATTAAACCAAGTTACAGTACGCCCGATCGTTGCATTTACGACGCAACATTTTTAACGTCATGCACAGTTTTCGGGGGTATTGTGCGCAGCCTCACAACCTGAACTTATACACTTGCTAAGTGTTAACAGGTTAACAGGCTCATCAAGGATCTCAGTACGGAACAAAAGTTAAAAGTCCTTTTTTTCTGAGACCGATCCAATGAAGCCGTGTAAGTGTGCGTTCATACTTTGCGTCAGCGTGCACGGGCGTGTGGCAGCATTTCGAGCGTACATCAGCCCAGTATGTCAGCGACTAGGAAAGTATGGATATCGATCTAGTGGACCACAGGTATGCCAGCGTTTTCGCGCGCAACTATAGCTTGAAACTGCTCGCAAGTACGCTGCAGTACGCTGGCATACACTGGCCGTGGATCGCTATCTACCCAGTGCTAGTCGCTGGCTTGCGCTAAATCGATACCAATATTTTCCTAGTTACATTCGAAACGGTGGTATAGGCTGACGTACGTTGGCATATACTGTAGTTCGCTGCGGACGGTTGGGCGTGTCAGTGCGGCTGCGTTTGGCGCGGTGCCAAACTCGTTCTACACCAGTTGTTGAAGCGGGCAAGTGACAATACTGTATCATATGCTTCGTATTACTCGTTTTCTACCACTTTTTGTCGCATGCGCTCTTCAAGGCAGAGAACGGCTCTGATAGGGTGACACACTCATACTGGCTGACACGCCCAACCGTCCGCAGAGAACTAGAGTGTACGTTGATGCAACGTATAAACGCAGCCTAAGCCAAACTTCTGATGCTATGTAGCGTGCTCAGAAAGCAGGTTTTCTTGAGAATAACATATCAATAGACATTGTATGACGTGTTGAAGAAAAGCAAGTCGCATTGCCCTGCAGTAACTGAGGAGAAGCCAAAGTCGCTTAGTAGAATTCTCAAATCCTACGTATACATGAACATGGCGTCTCGATCTCAAAAAATGACGTAGTATGAAGAAAGGAGTGAGAGAACAAAGATGAAAAGACACTTGAATAGACCTGTTCGGTATACTGTGAAGCCATCACACACATAGCTGCAGCTGTCACCGTACTTGCACCAAGCAGCATCCAGTCAGCCTTGACGCGCTCAACATCAGCCCTCAAACTTGCTACTGTTACCGTGATTAGCTATTACAAATAGTCTTCGACAACGCGGACCTTGGAATTGTTTTCAAAACTTCGACATTCGCTACTGCGGACCGTAAAACAACCTGATAAATCTGAAACAGAAATTAATGAAAACATGACGACTAACAATGTGATATAGTGTAGTTCGCTGCGGACGGTTGGGCGTGTCAGTGCGGCTGCGTTTGGCGCGGTGCCAAACTCGTTCTCCACCAGTTGTTGAAGCGGGCAAGTGACAATACTGTATCATATCCTTCGTATTACTCGTTTTCTACCACCTTTTGTCGCACGCGCGCTTGAACAGCAAGGCAGGGAACAGCCTTGACGGGATTACACGCCCAAACGTCTGCGGCGAACTAGAGTGCACTTTAATGCTCAGAGAGAATCTACTCAGAACCTTCCGATCCGCAATTAGCGAATAACTGAATAGCGTACCTGTTCGTGATGCAGAAATACAATATCTAAGAAAAGCAACGTATGTTCCCATATGGCTTTGAAGTCTAGTCGAGGCCAGGCAGGTACTGAAATGCAGAAATCTTCCACAGATACCAGAACAAAAAAGAGAACTGTGAAATCAGTATTGCTCCACAAACCGACAGACTTAAGCAGAGCTTCCGAATAAACCAACGGAGATTGAGGAAGACGAAAGTTCAGCGTTTTCAGAATACGGAGCTCCGATTTCAAAGCTGCTCGCTGAGTGTAAGCAAATCCTAATGTGCGCAAGCAAGAACATATTTGTTTTGAAGAGAGGCTCTGAATGTGCTCATTGTGAGGTATTTTTTCGCTTGTGACGCGAAAAAAAGAGATGGTGCGCTAAGGGAATAGATGGGAATTGATCGGTTTCGATCCTCCAAGTGTGAAGCGCTACTTTCCAGTAGCAGCATCGCAGTACCACTGGAGTTGGGAAGAGAGAGACTCGAGGCACAGCGCCACTGCCATCTCACCATGACGGCTGAGCCGCGCATCGACTTGAGAGTCTTGTTCGCTGCGGATTGTGGAACGTGTCAGCGCGGCAGATTTGGCGCGCTGTCAGGCCCGTTCTCCACCAGCTGGTAGAGGTGTGCGACAACAAGTGGAAAAGACTGATACGAACGATACAATTGCAGTCTTGTTGCTTGCCGGAAGAAAAAAAAACGGGCTGGCGTCGCGACAAACAAATCTCTCCCACCCTCCTGCCGAGCGCAACTGCACCGACATGTCCCATCATCCGCAGTGATCGAGTTTATAAGTGACGCCTTGAAGCCGCGACTCTAATATTCCCCTATTTCCACAACCGAACAATTCCCTGGCGGCCAGAGTGGGTCGATACCAATTTTTACTCTCCTGGCACGCATTCTCCTATTTTCCTGCGTCGCAGTTTGAACGCGACCCGAGACCGCGTTCATACTTCGCGATAGGATGGCTCGACTGGATCGCGCGACCGCGATCGGTGCCGCTCCACTGCCAAACGGTGCACCGCCACAACGTCACAATTCAAGGGGTGATATGTATGTATAAAAGAGGCCCACTATGAATTCTGCCGTTGCGGCCGTGCCTCGCCTGGCCCCCGGTCGCGCTTCCGATCGTAAAGTCTCAACGCGGTCTCGCGTTCCGAAGCACACTCACATCATGATAACTGAAGGCTTTTGAAGCTATCTGTATAGAGGAAAGCATGCGAAGGGTTGTTTGCCTGAAAAGAACTGTAGCAATCGAACTGGAACAGCGCAGTTAGTAATCAAGGCAAAGACCTCGACAAATTTGCCTCTACTTTATCCCATTCTCGAAGTCGACGAGATTTGCTCATTTTCACGCAGTTCAAAAAATTCAGGACCTGAGAAGTATGAATGCGCATGAATCTGAAAACCAAGTCTCTACTAAGAAAAGAATGCACGAGTAATACTGCAGCAGTACCAGTCGTACTGATAGTACTGACCTCGTGAATATTAACACTGCCAAATAGCGTATATCGTGGGGAAGTCGTAAACGAACACAGACTGTGAAGATGTACTGCACACTCTCGAGAGTCATATAGTCACTATCATTCTCGGTGGTTGCCATAATTCGGTCTGAAGAAAAGTAAGTGTTACAGCTGACATCATCCGGGCCAAAATAGTGACACACCCGAGTTTTGTAAAGCTAGTTCACAAATCCAATCCGAGCAGTAATCGGAAGGTAATTCTGCCGTTCTGGAAAGAAAATCAGGATCGCATCCAATCTCGTCATCCTGCAAGCAAAAAAACATGAGAAAATCAACTACTGTGAAGTGATAGCAAATGAGAGATAATTACCTGTTTTTTAACGCTGGTCATAAAAGGTCTGCTTTTGCTGAATAACTAAGAGGTTTTACCTGAAGCAAGAACAGTGGTCTATGAAAGAAAAACGTTCCAAAAAATAAATCGATTGCAAAAAAGCATCCATAAGACCATGTTTATAGTCAGCGTCAAATAGGAGAATCGGAGAAAAGGGACAACGTACGAATCGATTCTGCAATTCCCCGATCAATACCTATGCAGCCCGCCACGATTCTTCGAATGCCGCGCTCTTGCACAACGATTCTGCGGAATCTGCGCGAAAAAAATGTGAACGTGTAGAGGAAGAATTGCCGAACTGGCCAAGGAAGACGTGATGGACTGATTCTTCGGGTCGAAAAGCCTGCATTCTTTTGGGCAGAACCCGCTGTCCACTTCATATATGAACGGGGCTAGAGGCGCTTCTGTCACGTTGCAGCAATCAACAAAAGTCAAAGCAGACTGCTATTGACAGGCAACCGGTTGCTTTTTACAAGGCTGGAGGGAATGTCTAGCTGTAAGTTGTATGCTTCTAAGTAGAACACATACACTGCTAAGCATAATCATAGTTCCACCCATGAATCTCACAAAATCCCGTCTTACACGACGTTTTCAAAAATGCCCCATACAAAAAATGTGGTAATTACCAATACCAATTCGCATGCCAACACCAAAACTAACTTGAAGAACAATTTTCTTTCGTTCATTTTTTGAAAATGGTCTTTCTGACAATGCAGCAAAATGATAGTTCCACCGCATATTTTCCGGCTGCATCTCATTTTTGTTCGGTGAAACTTCTCATCATTATGACTTCTTGCCTCTTCTAGGCTATGGCAAGTGGAACTTCATTAATGGACCTCGAAAAAGGACAGATTATCGCAAAGAAGACTCAAAAACTGTCGAACCGTCGAATCGCGCGGGATTCGGGCCGCACTCATCATGCTATCAACAATTTTTAAGGGACCTACAGGATATTGAGCTGAGAAGAGCTCTGGACATCCTCCTTTGCTGCCCGATCGGAATAAGCGCCGTATCCTTAGGAAAGCATCCAACTCTGCAGTGTCGTGTCGGGAAATTAAGTCATCTTCGCAGGTTAATGTCTCGGAGGATACTGTTAGGCGTGTCTTGGAAAACTCCCGAGTTCACCCATAGGAGGAATATGAGTTACGTACTGTTTCTAACGAAAAACCATCGCGAAAACCTAATTGGCTTTGCTCGAAGATGTTGCCGAACCCAATGGAGTGAGGTTGGCTTTTGGCTGCGGTGCCCTACTGCTTGTCTGTAGTGTTTTTTCAGTTTTTTTTTCTCGCGGTCGTGTTTTCTGATGAGAAAAAATTCAACTGCGACGGCTCCGACGAAAACCGATTCCGCTGGCACGACCTGAGGAAAGACAAGTTTCATTTTTCCGGGCGGAACTTCAGTGGATGTGGTCTCATGGTCTGGGCTGCCATCGCATCAATGGAACGTCTGAAACTGTGCTCCGTATGAAAAAAAATGATTTCTTCCGTCATCTAAAAGTCATGCGACGACGTCTCCTTGCTTTCTGGCGTAGAAATCAGCAAGAAAGTCCCGTTTTCATGCAGGATAATGCACCAGTTCATGACAGTCGAAGCACTCGAGCGTGATTCAGTCGTCACCAAACCGCTCTTTTGCCCTGGCCAGCGAGTAGCCCCGACTAAACCCAATCGAGGATGTGAGGGGCTTCATGGTGCGTATGATCCATGAGAGTAATGCACAATTCCACAATGTCCGTGAGCTTAGGGAGTTAATCATTGGGGCAGTCGGCCGAAAGCCTATTAAAATCTCTAATCGAACATGGGCAACCGTATTTTCCAACTTAATTGGAGAAATAGAGTTCCAATAGATTACTGGATCAAAATTTATTCATTTTGTTGTACACCTGTTGTTGGATTATTCGATTTGTTCGGTGGAACTATCATTTTGCTGCATTGTCAGAACGACCATTTTTGAAAAAATTGACGAAAAAAATTGTTTTTCCAAGTTAGAGTTTGGTGTTGGCATGCGAATTGGTATTGGTAATTACCACATTTTTTGTATGGGGGCATTTTTGAAAACGTCGTGTAAGACGGGATTTTGTGAGATTCATGGGTGGAACTATGATTATGCTTCGCAGTGTATTTTCGTCAAGGGTATAAGAAAAATACCCTAGTTCGCTGCGGACGAACTACAGTATAATTTATTCACCGCAGATTGGCATCACCTCTGTGATGAGCCATGCCTACGGCTCCTACGCACGTGTTGGGAAGGTGTTACTGATAGGGCAGATGCGCTCCTGCGATCAGAAAGGTCCGAACGTGTATGCGTTTCATCTGTTTATCAATTTACGACGTCGTTGTGGGCGGCCATCATACTTCTTGCTACCGCCTGTTCCCCACTTGTAAGGCAGCGTTCAGACTTGTCGCGCTTGAGCGCGCGCTGATTGCCGCGTTTCAAATGTCGCTGTCGCTTGTACATCATAGCGAAAGGTTCAGGTATTGTGGCTTCCAAGCGGCTTTACTGGGGTAGGGGCCAATAAAAAAACACTTTGGCCGAGTCACATATCAGTAAAGTTTAGGCAGCCCACAGAGAATACGAGTACGGGTGGATACGAGTGCTAGGGAGGGGAAGATACTCAAGACCTTCCTCGATGTGCAGGAGTAGGATCTCGTCCATCACGTCTATGCACACCAAAAGATGAAGAAGTCTCCAGTTGCAGCCTGACTGGAGAAGGCCTATGGAATTCCACGTCACTTACAAACAGCTGCGAAACCTCTTGACCAGTTGCAGCCTGACTGGAGAAGGCCTATGGAATTCACGTCACTTACAAACAGCTGCGAAACCTCTTGAATGTAGTCACCTATGAACAGCAACCTGGAGACCGCTACTCTTGATCTGGAAGACCTCCAGCATCGAGCAGCTCCGACAACGCCGTTACGGTCCCGGATATCATCTTGACCGCAGTCGCTAAGGTGTTAGTTGATGGCGTATACCGGAAGCATCTGGAATGGGAAGACCGATAGGCTGAGTTTATACTTTGCGGCAGCGTAGCGTAGCGCTTCCAGCGTACGCCAGCGGCAGTGCCGAAGAGAGGATGCATATCGATCTAGCTTCACCAGCGGCACGCTGGCGTACGCTAGCGGCACTAGCGCACGCTGGCGTAGCGAGGGCACGGGAAGCATAGCTATCGATCTAGCTTCACCAGCGTTTCTCCAGCGTTTTCCCCGTCCAGTGCTCTCTAGCCCCTCTCTAGCCCCGTCGCTGCAAGCGCTGGGAAAACGCTGGAGAAACGCTGGTGAAGCTAGATCGATAGCTATGCTTCCCGTGCCCTCGCTACGCCAGCGTGCGCTAGCGTGCCGCTAGCGTACGCCAGCGTGCCGCTGGTGACGCTCTCCTCGGCACTGCCGCTGGCGTACGCTGGAAGCGCTACGCTGCCGCAAAGTATAAACGCAGCCATATTTTCTTCGTGGATCCCGGACTGAAAGTGAACGCTGACGGTTACATCGACCAACGAGGAGAATATCCTGCCTTCATGTCGTCGCCCGTACCATCTTGGAAACTTGTTACTGCAACAGGATTGGGCCGCGTTCATAGCTTGCGTTCGTGAAGAAATGCAGAAATGCGGAAAGCAGAAGTGCGGAATCTGCAGAAATGCCGAAAGTGTGGAAAATCGATACGTATCGGTTGCTTTTCTGCACATTCCGCACTTTCGGCATTTCTGCACTTTCCGCACTTCTGCATTTTCCGCATTTCTGCATTTCTTCACGAACGCAAGCTATGAACGCGGCCTAAGACGGAATGTTCAAGTGTGTCACCTGACCTAAACCCCCTCAATTACCGAGTTGGCGGAGCTCAACAGGGTGGTCTACAGTGGCGGAGAAATCAACGACCTCGCTGAACTCAGGCACCGAATCACGGTCGCGTGGCAGAATCTCTCGATGGCGTTCGTCCAGAAGGCTGTGGCGGAGTATCATGATAGTGTACAATGTGTTGTTGAATATGATGGTGGAAATGTCCAATCAAAATTCAATAAAGTGTAACTTATATCGCCTTGAAAGTCAAGGAGGGAAAGTGTCTTTTTTTATTGCCCTCCCTGTATACAGAGAACAGTATTGTCGCTGTTGATGTACAGTCGTCATCCTTGCACTTGATAGGGGCGTGTCGGCGAGAAGGAGCGTGCACACTGTTTGAAGCCTTCTCAGCCTTTTCGTTGAAACGCGTATGCGACAAAAAGTGATAGAAAACGAGTAACACGAAGGATATAATACAGTAATGTCACTTCCTGGTTCAACGATTGGTGCAGTACGGGTGCTGACGACCGCGCCGCACGCAGCCGCACTGACATTGACTATCAAGTGCAAGGATGACGACTGTATATTGCGTGTTCTTTGACAATGAGTTTTACAAATGCCTGCTACCACACCATTGCAAGAGGGTCCCCGTTGCTCGCCAAAGTGCCAGACTCCGAGAAACTGTATTATTGGACAGTGCCAGGACACAGCAATCCTGAGAATACAATCGCCTCATTCGCCAGATAAAGCCGTGCGATTTCAACTGTTCTGTCAGTCGAGGGTACTCTCCGACGGCAAACGCTACAACGTTTTGTCATTCGCCGAAATTGGCATCAACAGCAATTTACTCGCACTTGTTGAAAAAACGAAGGTACCAGTGATCCAAACGGGATGTACGCATTCGGGGTAGTGGGAGCGGGTCATGGGTTAGGGAGGATCTACTTATTTTGAAGCCAAAATATTACTTTTTTCTCTGTTTTCCTCTCAGTTTTATATGCATAAAGCCTTCCAAATTTTTGAATAGAATGACTTAGTAAAATGAACGAACCAGCAACAATAGGCCTATAGGAAGCCGCAGCCAGTTTACGGGTGTACATAGGTTAGGACTCCACGAGAGGTCACGGCTGCCATGTTTCGCCTCGCCGCGCGCGGCGATTGCTGCCGTGATTGGACGAGACCCATACAGTCGTGCGATTAAGATCCCGGTCCCTTCACATAGTTCTGGCATCACGCAAATCTGCTTGGCATTTTGCCAAACCAGAATATTCAATGGGACGTCAATATTTTTGAATGGCAGCTGTATTTATTCAACGGATTGCTGTATTTCTTTACGACCTACTTTTCCCGTCTGGCCGCAAATCTTAGGCCCTTACAATACCTTACAATTGAGGGCAAAAGAAGGATTCACCCTAAAGTGAATTTTTGTAGATTGCTGATGTATTCTCTAAATATTATTTCTATGTAAATGGACGTTGTTTTATACTAATAGTTAACATCGGGCCTACTCCTTTCATAGTTTTCACACCTGCAAGTAATAAAGCAGACTGTTGGAAATCTCATGGACTATGCAAACGCCGCGCGCATAGGGAAACTGCCAGGTTGACCTCTCGTGGAGTTCTAACCGTTACCCCCACTTTACCACTATATACTCTGTCGGCAAGCTCCTTTCCTCATCTTCGTTCGTGGAAACCCTAACATCACTGTCACTATTACGGACAATACAACAAACTATTTGTGTATACACCATATACCGCAGTTTTATTAAATTCAACATCACAAAAACGATGAAAAGGATAATGGATATATTTCTGGAAGATAGCACCCCCTGAAGCTTCGACGCAGAAATCTCATTTAGAAAGAAACCTCAGCTTTCCTTTGGGCCGTGTAGCGAAATTAAATTCATCACACTTCCGGGCCCTCCCTATCATTAAATGGATTCAATTCCAACACCTGTATGCATTACGTGACAGAGAGAAACACATTAATGCAAAATGGAAGTGGGAACGATGACAAATCAAAGAGCGATCAAAAAACGTATCGCGTGACGACAGATATTTATAATTCTGTTCTGCGTGCAGAATCGCCAAAGAAAACCAGATCGATTGACTGTCAAGTTCACAGCAGTCACCTTTGCGAACGCCACTGCATGCGATTTATCTAAAACACTACTCTTGTAAGCGCAATTGTTGTCAGTGCTCTTTGCGGTGCCTCGTGGTAATCAACGATGCCTGAGTGCTCGGAAACGTGATTTGTTTGCATCCAAGACTTTACTGGAACTCATGGAGCAATACACCGGAAAATATGACGTAAGAAGAATGCATACTGAAAGAATTGGTTTCACTGCAGTCATATTTGCGAATGCCACGGAATGCGATTCATCAAAAACGCTGGTATTGTAAACGCAACTGCTTTCAGTGCTATGTGGTGTGCGGTGCGTGTGTGAGTGCTTGGAAATGTGACTTGTGTCAAAGACTTTATTGAAACTCACAGAATGTGACGTAAGAAGAAAGAAGGATGCATAGTGAAACAACGTTTGGAAACTTAATTTGCTTTGCTGAAGTATTCCTTACTGTCCTTGACACCGGGCTTGATGGTGGCTTTTCCAGGAGTCCAACCTGCAGGGCACACCTCTCCGTGCTGAAATGTCTGATGTCTATATCTGCGCCAACTCGAATCTATAGACTAATGGCCAAAAGTAGATGTAAAATCACCTTATCAACAAATTGGAAGGCCTGAACAAGACGGAGCGTTTCATCTACAGAGCGGCCGACTGGGAGGTCGTTGATGGTGATCTGTCGCAGGATTCCTTTGGGGTCAATAATAAAAAGACCTAAAACAAACACTTCGACCGGTTTGAAATAAGAGGGTATATCAAGACTGATACTGTGACTTGCCTCTGTAGGCGATTCCTTCATCATCCTTCAGCACACCATAGTCCTTTGCAATTTGGTGATTGGTGTCGGCAAGGACGGGAATGCTCATGTCACCTAGTCCACCGTGTTTGCGGGGCTGAAGTTGCAAACTTACTGTTTATGCACATACCAAGTGATAGAATGGGATTTAATTATGAAATTCAGCAAGCATACAGTATTGATCCACGCCAAGTGAGAGAAAACGGAGTCAGTCGAGCAGGCAAGAACCGCGGCATCAATTTTCTTGAACTCCTCGATACGGTCGGAAAATGCGATGATTTCTGTGGGGCAGACAAATGTGCTAAATAAGTGGAAATGAGTGGAACAATGTGTTCAGCAAGGAAATCCAACGACACTGAACGCTGACTGCGTGAAACAAACACGACTAACCAGGGAAAGGTCAACAGGTCAGCCTGGCCATTTGCAATGAGATGCACATCACTGTACTCATCTTGACACGGTGAACTCAGAACTGTCTTCAAAATTTGCAGAACGATTCTCTGAGCGGAGTTATGGAGGTTTTTCTTTACTGTTTTTCTTCTTACGGGCGCGCTGGCGCCGAAGCGTTGGCACATGTAGCGCGACTCACAGCGCTCTTCGCGCAAAAACAGGTATCATATTCGTGTTCAGGGGGTCAAATAACCCCTAGGGACGTCACCTTAGCAAAATCTGAGCTTCTGACTCAACTTCGAAAAAATGGGGTATGGATAGTCATGGCTGACTGATAGCCAACAGCGATACTATGACTAGCATACTGGTGACTGGTCTTCGAACTGAAATAACTCTTCAGTCATGTCTTTTCGCAAACAACAGTACCTGGCTTACTTATTTGTGCCGTCTGCATCATTTTCTTGACTATCGGGAGGAAATCCCATTCCGAGACCAGTCATCGATGGTAGGTGAGCTCCAATCTGCTGCTAATTACCCATGGAATAGCCCACATTTTCCAAGTGAGGTCGAAAAATCAGATTCGGCTAGAAACTTGTCCCCAGGGGTAATTTAACCCGCTGAACATGAATATGATGGTATTTCATTGCAAAAACCCTTGTGACACGTGTTACGAGGGGTACAAGCAGAAGCACTCTTTCAGGCCACAATGGGTCTACACTTTCAAAAAAAAAACTGATCGCAGATTCCTCTTACAGGGTAAGTGAGTGCGATGTTAGAAGCTTTGTCGGCTATGTTCTTGGACAAATGCAAAAAAGACCTGCCCCGGAACCGATCCTACGACGTCTCGCCTAAGAAACCCGCTCCCTACCCGTTGCGCTCTGCGTTTCAGAACGACTCCATACATAAATGTAAAGACGCTTCCACGTTTCCTCGCGATAGCATGTGAAACGACCATGCGGGGATAAAACCGTTCCGCAAATTTTGAAGACAGTTCTGAGTTCACCGTCCCAAGACGCGTACAACGATGTGCAGCTCACTGGAAATGGCTGACCTGATGACCTTTCCTGGTAAGTTTTTGAATGCCTGTCTACCAACACATAATGCTATTAATCAGCTATGATGAACCGGAACATGTTAATGTTGCAACGATTGCTTCTGCCTATTCAAATGTGGAATATCCTACGTTTATGCGAAATGAGCAACAGGTTCTCTTTTTGCAAATGCCCCATGGATATGACCTTGACGAATCACAGACCATTCTATGGGACAAACAGCTTGCAATAACTGCATCCCACTGACAGCAAGAGAACAGCAGGACCCAAGAATGTAGAAATAAAACAGAGCATTTGTAACATTGGCTGGACGCTATTACTTCACACTCGCTTGACTATTTCAAGATTAAAGAAGCTTCACATCTGGATGCGTAAGTTTTGTCAAGACGTCAGGCGAAGGTAGAAAAATATTACTGATCAGTTGCTCTTCATTCACTGCGGCGAGAAACAGCTGCGAATAGTGAATGTGATAGTCGCTTGTTTTACAAACGGTTTGCAAAGAACATATTATTCACGAATGACCACACTGCTGCTCTTTCTTGTCGTGCAACACTGGTAACGCATTTAGGGATCAAAGGCCTTTTCGCTTTTGTAAATTCTTCAATACATCTATGCGAGTCTGCCTTCGAATGAAATCACTTAACTACTTTAGAGAACGTACTAGAATTACTCTAGATCGCATCTATACAGAGGGCCGTCAAGAACCGGAGAATCCCCGGGAACACGTAGAAATAGATGGTGTGAGGCATTACTCAAGATGAAAGAGGCGTTACAAGCGAGGTGATCTACACTGCGCATTCCAGCAGGAACCAAACTACTCAACGTAGCAGGGCTGCGGCGGAATACTCTCTCTGTGCCCATGTGCCCTACGTCAACTAGAAAATACTCTGCATATCTGCCTCGACTCGAAAGTGTCCTTTCCCAAGAATCGATCACCTGGCTACTCCCTCTGGGCGCTTTGTCAGGAATTGGAGAGAAGGCCAATCAGAAAATCAGAGAAAGGAAAACAAATCAATCAGTTATGCCGACTGCGCCTAATCAGTGCGTGTGCACACTCCGCGATCGCGCGATCGGATCGCTCAGCTGGATAGCGCGATTGGATCGCTCGACTGAATCGCGCGATTTATCGAGCGATCACGATGTATGAGTGCGCTCTCACAGAATAGGTGAATTTGTACATCTAAGGACCCTTGCCCTTCCCGCGGATTCTCCAGAACGGAGCTCGCTATGAACATGTCCTAAGGATCTACAAAAGCGGGCTCTGTTATAGTTGGGAGGACGTGGAAACAGGTTGGCGGCTCTATCCAGTTAAGAGGACGGGGAAACCGTTTGGCCGCTGTATCCCTTCTCGAAAAAGGGCTTACGCTTAGAGCCCCGATGACTGGAGCCGGCGAGGAATAGTCACGCGAGAAACATAGTCTTCAAAAAGCTTGGATAAGGCTGGAGGAAGTGATGGATAGTCTTCAAAAAGCTTGGATAAGGCTGGAGGAAGTGATGCGAAAGCGCTTCGGAATTTTCCCCTGTTCCTTCCAAATAAGTTGGTGCCCCCTCGTAGTTTAAACCTTCCTTTGAGGACAAGGTTTTTTTAGTACTAGGATAGTGCGATCTGGTTAGACCCTCATTCCCTAATTGAAACACGATGAAAAATCCCTGCTCGCAGCACAGGGCATGATTAATTGTTCAAAATAAGACTGGTAAACACGCTAAAAGCTAGTAGCGCCGCAATTTACTTTAATTTTGCGAAATCGGACCGAGTGGGGCCAAAACGAAGCAGACAGAGTGGTTTGCTGCCAAGTTTGATATACACCAACGATGCAATCATACTATAACCAATACTAGAGCTAAATTTTGAATCATGGACAACTCACAAATCCAACGGATAGAAGAAGAGCACGGTGTATTTGCCCTTGTAGTCAGATAGTTTCACGTCGATGAAATCACCATTGTAGACAGCCTTTGTGATGAAATCGGGAGCAGGTTTTCCGATGAAAGCCTTCGACATCTGCAAAACATCATATGAGGTATTAAAGCAACGAGCGCAAATGAGCATGTCAGGTAAGAGACACAGAGAGCAAATGGTTCAATTGACTGCAAAATCATCGCTTCTTATCTATTCAATAGGCCGGTCTGATTGGCGAGCATCACCTAACGGAACGAGATTGAACATTACTTCACAACGGGGAATTCAAAAGGTCTCCTGTCAATTACACACAACGAGCTGTTGATTAGACCGCAAGAAAACTCGCCATATATCGAGTGCTCACAGCATCCCAACTGTTGTTAAAACTCACCAAACTTTGAAACCAAGCACACACTATTTCAGCCGATACCGTACGCTTCACACCGGTGCAAACGTAGTTGAGGGGGACCATAGAGCTCCGCCTGTAAATTCCTTTCCTTGGGCAAGGGCTTAGCAGAGCGCACAGTTGCCGCGCTGTAGTCTTATAGAGCAGAAATAGACACTGACCCGTAGCCTCTCAACTACGTTTGCACCCTTTCCCTGACCAGTTTTCATTCATGAAGGGGACTTTCCAAGGGCACCAAATGGGGGCAGTTTGGCGACGGGGGGGGGGCATTTTGCACTTTCGCTACTTCCCATCATGTGTCGACCCATCTAGACAGCCTCTTCTCGAGTTGACAGGTTTTACCATGATGGCTTGACGAGCTTGCTCCAGCTTCACAAGAGTTCACAGGTTTCACCAGAGTGAGACTTGTAAACCGGAACTAGTGAAGCAACGAAAGTGCAGAATGCCCCCCTCCCCTCCCTGTCGCGGGACTGCGCTTGTTAAATGCTTGAACGGAGACAGAAGCGCGGAATCCATACGATTACTAACACAAAAACAAGCACTTTGCGAAGGGAGGTTATGCACTCTTTGCGGCTTTTTATGGCCTAGTGCTCAACTGCGCTATTTTCCTCATCAAATTTTACGTGAGAATAAATAAAGCAACTCACTGGCAACATTCTGGCGCGGTACATAAAAGGTCAATGCGCCTTCCTTCACTCCTTTATAGTGTTGGGATTAACTCACTGCGGTTACCATGGCTTTCTACCTCCACTTTCTCACAAACAGTCGGAGAGCAAGTCGCCACACTTACATTCTCCAGTACAGCAAAGACACTTTCACCGCAGCTTCGCACAGCCATTCGAACACCCGATCGATTGCGCTTGAAAAAAAAGCAGCCTGCACCACTCATTGCTAATCACGCAAACATTCATAATGTTAAGGTGCTAAGAAATGAGGCAATCGAGGGAATCAGAAGAGAGCCTGCAGGAATCACATAAGAAGGGAAAAGACGAGGAACACCAGACCGATCCAGCCGAGTGCAGACGCCTGTCTGAGCTGGCAATTTCGGCCGTTTTCCCGCCCTCGGCCGTCATCTTTGACCTTGAGCAAGCCGCCGTGGTCAGTGACAGCCGATCGGAGACGACCCCAACTACAAATTCGAATTTGCTTATCGATCAGAAGAACGTACTGGTAATTGCGTAAAAATTAAAATTAAGAAAAAGATCACTGTTGGAAAATTCCTCCGGTAAATACTATGAACTTGACTTTCACCTCCACAAAAGCAGCTTTTGAATGTGTGATGGCTGAGAAAGGGCTTGCAGATTGTTGATATTCAACTCTCAGTGCTCTTTTGGGGTGGGGTGCATTAGATGGGGTGACGGTCAAAACAATCGTAATTTGCGGCCCCGTCGCGCGCGGCGATGGGCGCGGCGTTTTCTTGAATAGCATTAGTCTGCCGATTGGAGCATTTGATTTCAAGTAAACTATTAGGTTGGACGGAAAGTCCTGCGACACTTTGACCAAATTTTTGGACCAAATTTTCTTTCACTGAAGACATCTCCAATCTACAAGGTAATCACCATTAATGACTAGGACTAGTGCCCACCTTTTGCACAGCTTCTCATTATTCTCAGAGAACTACGATAAAAAGAAGAGGTGGACCTCATTTTCGAGTAGACGTCGATTTTCGGAATTTTGGCTCTTTAAAGGATGTGGTAGAGATCAATGGAGGTGGTAATTTGGTAAAGAAGCTGGGTTTGGTCGCATTCCCTGATCGAGATCCATGATCTTTTGGCGTAGCCTGATCCCCACATGCGGTCTTCGCATTGCCGAGTAGTAGAGAAAAATTGAGTATTTCTGAATGAATTCAAGCGTGACGTCATCCATATTTTGAAGTCGATTAAGGTGGACTGTGGTCCTTACAACGGTGCTAGTATCCAGTGATACCGCTTTGAAGTCCCACCAATAACACACTGAAATCTTTATCCCATGCACATCTGCTTTTGGCTGTGCAATCTACTTTTCTCCTTGAGAGATCCTGCGAGGAACATGTGCAAGATGTACGCAAGGACTCCACCACTCGCTACCAACCACAAGATCTCACAACGAAACCGAGACTGCGGAGAAGCATGGCAGTTGTCAGTTAGGTGGAGCCTAGAGAGGTTGCCAACTTACTGGTGGTTACGTTCGGCTGCGCCTCAAGAAGCTTGAGTAAAGGGCCGTCATTCTGTGCTGGTGGCCGACCTATACATTGCCTACCTCCGTTAAATAAGTCCAGCTTGGAAGCGCTGATGCAAAAGCTACCCTCTGCCATGGCAAGCGATATCCTTCCTCAAGACAACGTAGGTGTTAGCTTCCTCGACTACGGCGGAGTGGCCCTACAGGAACTCATAATATGGGATAGGTCGAAAAGTACCTCGATCTGGGGACTTTTAAGCTTTGAAAACTTCCACAAAGTCATGATATACCCATTTGCAGAAACCCCAGAGGACAGTCCCACTAATCACGGATGAAACATTCGAAATGTTTTTTTGGTCTTTTTCAAGAACAATCCAATCAAAGTGTCGCAGGACTTTTCGTCCAACCTAATAGAACATCGTGGACCAGGGCGCACCCTGTCGTCGGGGAAAATTTTCGGAAAATACGATCCCTCGAAATCTCGTCGTCTAGCACTACCCCTCCCCCAACTCCTTCTACGTTCCACCTTCTATCTCACCAATTTTTCCAACCTTTCTATCACTTTTTCCGGAATTTCCCAAAAAACTTCCAGTTTTAGGTTTTCCCCAAAATTTTGCTGTCGAGCGGATGGGGGCGAGGGGGGTGGGGAGGGGGTGATATAGAGCGTAAAATGGGAAAATTGCGATAAGTCGACAAAGAGAAAAAAACCACGCAACAAATTTCTCTTTAAACGCAGATACGACTCCTCCTTTTTTATACGAATGGAACAAGGAAAGTCAACTATCGAAAAAGATTCTGAGACGAAGACCCCTCATCCAGAAATAAAATACGACCCCTTCGCTGGGAATTCCCAGCGTAGGACGTGCCCTTACCGTTAACATTATTTTCGTTTTTGGTTGTACATCATCTGTTGTCGCTATCCGAACAACTTCACATGCAGACACGAGTCGCACCGACACCCACTAGAGTGGCGACTTATGATTGTCTTGTCACATATCCGATTATACGACGGCGCCCGCATAGTTTAGGCGAGGGCACAGGCAGCGCCTCTGGATGCCTTCCTCAACTCTTAGGCTCAGAGCGCAGATGGCTAGAGTGGCCCAGATAGTTTCTCAGAGAGGGCATAATCTCCAGTGAGCCTGAATGTTCCTCAACTCTCCAACTACGTTAGCATACAAATGAGATTCTGTTGAGAGTAAGTGCTATATAGTTGACCAAACTGAATCAACGCGAAATAAAAACACGAGGTTGTGGAGCGAATGTCGCATATGTATGTACGTTACGCTATTTGCAATGTTGTTCCCGTTGCCGCAGCATACAGCTTCCAATTCAGAGAAAATCAAAAGTTCATACTATAGATCGCTTTCTCGGCATGATAGTGTGGGCATTGACTAGAGGCACATTCCACGATAGCCCGAGTATAAGTTGTGACGCGCAAGAATGAAAGAGCAGGCACCAAATGGTTTGACAATGCCGAAAACCAGCGAAATGCGCAATTTTGTGGTTCGCATTCGGCTTTCTAGAAAAGCGCGAGGAGCTGGACGCTGGGATGTAACCTCGGTCCTTGATAATGGACCGCATCCAACGATAATGTCTTATTCCCCTACTACGTCGCTGTGACCTTCAGGGTTCTTGTCACTACTTCTGCCTTACTTCCAGTCGGCGCATTCAGAAGGAGGCGTAGCTGTTGCGGGAGGAGGAATTGCCAAAATATGAGACCCAATGTGACGTCGGTCATTTTTGTCACAGGGGTGACACCTCCGCCTCCTCCTCATCTCAGCACCTTATGAAAAAGCTCTACAAAACCACGAAGTCGAGGAATGCAGATCCA